AAGGGACATGTCATCGACATAGCTTACCCAACAAGCACTCCTCGCCCCAAAAGGATATGTTACCAACACAACTCTCTTGAAGAGCATCTCTCACTCTAAAGGGACATGTCATCAAACATAGCCCGCCCAAAGAGCACCTTTCGCTCGAAAAGGAACACATTATCAACACAGTTCACCAAACCAACGTCCCCCACCACAATGCTTTCTCATCCAACACATTTCTCTAAGCTCTTTCCAAAGGTCTGAGAGCAGTCACTTTATAACCCTTCTTAAATCTAGAGGTAATTATTGTATCTATTTATTTAGTCAACAAGGTTGACTTTCTTTATTGCTAAGTCAATACTGTCACATCTCCACAAGTGAGGGTTGTTGTTCAGACTCTTTACCATAAAATAGGCTCTCCAAATTACCTCAATTAATATTCCATCAAAGCATTATTTTAGAATAAATTCAATTGACTTCCAATTTATTTGAGATCATTAAATACAATTCATACTTATTTAAAATTATTAAATGTAGCCAACAATTACCCATATGACTAGGGTTTGCATCGGGTCGGGTTCGGAGCGGGTTTTGCTCGCTCTGAACCCGACCCGACTTAATGCTTAAAAAATTCGAACCCGACCCTACTGGAAAATTTTTTTGTTTTTTCATACACGAACCCGACCCGAAATTAATAAAATATTATTTTTTAAATATAAATATTTAAAAATATCATTATATAAATATATATAATTAAAAAATTAATTTAAAAAATTATTTATATATATCGGGTCGGGTAGGGTCGGGTTTGCCTAAAACCCGACCCGACCCCGACTTTGTCTTCATGCTACCCGACCCGACCCGACTCTACCCCCAATTTTCAAAAAAAAAAAAAAATCGACCCTAAAAATCGGGTCAAACCGAAACCCATCGGATACGAATTTTTTTGCCTTCCCTACATATGACCCCTTCTTAAGCTTCATGTAGCCTTATTATCAACTATCAATTGTTTTGATCATCTCATTATCCTTCTTCTCATATATAAGGTAAAAGAAGGCCAGGTATAATATGAATCAAATTTTCTTCCTCATTAACCTTCCTTAATAATTGCTATATACCTTCTTTCTCATCAAAACCTATAATATTTTATTAACTTTAATGTTGGAGCGTATTTCGAAAAATCAAATCTGAGTGCCTTTTGACTGTGATTTTTTGTTGTAAGCTCCAAGTTCCTTTCACACAACTTCTATGCCACTTCCCTTCAACAAACACCTAAAAACAATTTCAATAAGATCAATTTTAATCTTAATGATTTTGGGACTTTAAACTTTTTTATTAAAGCTGATAAACATAGAAAGAAAAGATTTTTTGTTGGATGTTCAGAGATGAAAAGAATGTGTATCATACATGCATTATTGTGAGGTATATATTCAGTTGTAACTCAAATCCGAATACCCTATCCTCGTGTGCTGGAATTTTTTTTCTTTGATGTTAATTTTTATAATTACTTTTGATTTTATTTTAATAAGTTTTCTTTGATCGGTGTTTTTACTATTTTTTTGTTTTTTAATAAAAAATAAAATGAAAATATGGAACAAGCATATAAATACAATTTGTTTCGGGCCTGCTTTCCCGGAAATTCAAATGCATCTGTCCTGATTTCAAGGAAGATTCTGGTTCCAACTGCAATATGAATGGGATTAATGCGAAGTATTTATGACTATGTACTTGTTTTCTTGCTTCCTTTCTAAAAATAAAAAAAAATTAGTAAAGATTTGAATAAATATACAAAAAATATACTTTTGGAAAATCAATCAATGTACAAATTTTCTTCTAATATATAATTCCTGTATGTACCTTTAGTGCATCAATTGTAGTGTTAATTTAATATTACGCAGTACTAATGTAATTTTATGATTAAACATAATATTAAAAATTATGATATTATAATTAAAATAATATATAAAATTATGATATAATTATAATATTATATTAAAATAATTACAGCGTGATTTTCTCTTTAATTAATGAGAACCTTATTTATATAAATAAGAAATTTTTGTATATTATTTTTTCAAGTCAGTGAATGCAGTTCGGTTGGTATTATTTTTTTATTATTTGTTAATATTCATTAACGTTTGATTGATTTTTTTACTGTTTAATTAACTTTATTATATATATAATTCTAAAAAATTTAAAACATACCTAGATGGGAAATCCCTGTTCCATCAAGCAAGTCTAAAAATAATGATTTGAGTTTGATTTGAATAAAAAATATCAAGTTTGGACCATTGACGGTAATGGTATTCCCCGTTCGGCTCGGACGGACTTCAAAGTAGCAAAAAATTTACTACCAATAAAACTGCCAGGGTCCCTCAACTGTCCTTCCCCCGAAGGCTAAAATCAATGAAGAAATGGAACATTTTGATTACAAAAAAAGAATAAGAGCATTATTGTGATGATTTTCATCAAAGATTCCTTTGGCATCTATGGATGTTCTTTCATCGAAAAGGAATTCTCTTATCCCTAATTGTCGTTTTTAACAATTTCAAGAAATCACTCGATTTTTTAAAATTTATTTTAAAACTCACAATTTTTAAAAATTTAATCACTAAACATATATGAACTAATATTTAGTTGGATCGATAAGGTATTTATTAATTATAAAATTTTGGTTAAAGGCTATTTTTTCTTCACCGAGCACCGATCATCACTTAATTTGCTTTTAGTTTGATAATTGTTAGAAGTATTTTTGAATTTAAAAAATATTTTGATTATCTTTTCTTATTAAAAATCATTAATAAACAATAAAAATATTTTAAATTTTTGAACCGACCTACATTTAAGGTCACATTATTATATTAACTTGATCACTTCATTAATCTACGTAATAAATTCGTCTCAATATTGACTTTTCATCTTTTAGTGAACGATCAACATTTAAATCAGTTCGATCTTTTAAATTATCCTTTCAATCATAAAATTAACTTTGGATAATTTAAGTTACTCGAAATCCTTTTAATTTTTAATTATAAATTGGATCATCTAAATCTATTTTAAATCATTTTTATTCTTTTATTTCTTTTTTTTTTTTAATTTTTCTATAATTAACTTTTGATTTGAGCATCGTAAATAAAAAAATTAAAAACATTCATAACCTCTGTTTTTAACTGTTTTCTTTTTTTCTTCTAATTTTATAATTTTCTCCCTTCAGCTTAGCTAGACACAAACAATAACCATACGATGTCATATGAAAAGATTAAAGCACGAATCAAGAATATTCAAAATGCATGCCTTCGACTTAATGTTCTTTATGACATAATATGCCATTACCTTGGTATTTTTTAAAAATATATATTATCTGGACGGTTTCTTTTTTTTATTAAATAATTTTTGTATCAAGTATAACTTTTTGAAGGAAACTTTTACAAATTCAGCTTTTCAAAATTTTGGGTCATCCGTACATATTTACCGTTGAATTAAATATTTAATGTTCTTACCATTGGAATAAAACCGTCATCAATAGTCACAAAATGACGCAGATACGAATAAATTATTAAGTAATCTAGATCACTCATTTTTTTTCTTTCAATCACTAATTTCTAACATGTTTTTTTTTTTTTTTAATTTCCTCCTTTTTCACATATTGGTTTGAGTGTCGGACACAAACATTGAATTAACTTTCGATTTTTATCTTTTGTCTTTCTTTTCTTTTCAGGTGTTTACTTTCATATCAATTTTCAACAAAAACAGGTGTTTTCTAGTTTGATCTGTTCCTTTTTTTTTTTCTTTGTGCATATCATGTTTTGTTATTTCATTGGATTGAGTTCTGAATTAACCTTTGCATTATTAGAGTCGAATCTAAAGTCACAAATTTCAAAAAAGGAATGCTGCACAATTTTTGACTAAATTTTAAGTTCAAATTTGACAGTATTATCGTTATTCTTAGTACTAAAAAAATCATGGAAATTCAGCTGAAGAAAAAAAAAAAGACCAAACAAAGGTGAGAAACTTAATGAAAAACATGTTTTGCATAAATAAATATATTGACATATTGCAAGTTGTTTTCTACCACAACTTCGGTCTTTAAGACCATCGGCCGAAGTTGTTGAGTAAAAGTAAATTGTTTTGGTCCTTTTAGCAATGTTTGATTTCTCTAACAGCTAATAGCTTTGATGAAAAAAATTTTATTTTAAGGTTTAAGGTCTAGATACAAAAGCATATAATTTCGAACCCTCAAAGTTTTTTATTGGTAAATGATCTGTAATTTCAAAAAAAAATTTTAAAAAAATCTATAAATTTAAATTGACGATTTATCTCCACCTTAGAAATAGAATAATTTTTCGACTCTTAAAACTTTTGTTCATAATATTTATGGGTTTGACTTAACCTAAATTGATCTTCGTGGGTTGGGCTAGTGAAAAGTTTAAGTTACACTTTGTTGAAAACTGAGCCCAACTTGAACTAGGTCCGGCGAACTCGAGTTTTTATAATTTGAAGAATATCGTCATTGATAACAATTTGAAGATATCATTTTTTAGAGAATTCAAAAACTGTACAAATGGCAGTGGATCTATATGTTTATACTTATTTATAACAGAAAAAAAATCAACATTGGAACATGTAATTAGCATATTTGATTGGATGGATATGTAATAAATATGTAAATGACCTTGCGAAGTTTCTAAACTTCGTTAATTATGAATAGAGTGATAAAAGTTTAGAAAATTTGTATTATGTTTTTGGTACAAATTCGTAAAATAAATAAAATAAAGAAATATTCATAATAAGTTAGTTCAAAGACGAGTTTTCTTTATTTATCAATCAGAATTTGATTTTTGCGGAAAGTTCTAAAAATGTAAAATTTTATATGCTTCAAACTTTTTTTTTTTTAAATACGTCTTAAGAGCATCTGAAAAAAAAATTAAAAAAAAAAACCCTAAAATCAACATTAATAAGCTGTGGTTGGGTTGAAAAGTAATTGAGAGATGCCCGATGGGAAGTGGAAGAAGGAGAAAGGAATCGAATTAAAACCTCACGGCATGTGAGAAAAATGAGAAGCTATTCTCTCCCACTTTCCAGAAGCAACATTCCAGGCTTTTTCTTCACAAATCACATTACAAAATCATGCATGAGAAAAGATCAAATATATGCTACTGGTTGAATTAAAAACAGATGTTCTGATATAGTTAAGGGATAAAAATCTTCATGTTCTACATTCAAATCCGAATAAATAAAATCCATACACATTGGATAAAAGTAATTTCCCTTGATTTAATCTACTAAAAACATATTAAATGATCAACTATGGACAAATGACCAAGCTGATCTCTTCATTCTCCTTAGAAGCAAGCGTCCAGAAGGCAACAACAGCAGAGAGCTGCTATGCTGCAGAAGAAACAAGACAAAATCATGTCAATTTGGGTTTTGCAACAAATATATCTAAATATAATTACTTACAAGAGTTGCCTCTTCATGTATTAAATGTAATCAAACTTATCATATACCATTTTAATTAGAGAGATTGTTTTCTCCTGGTTATCTAACAAGTAAGATTAGTAGTCCAGTTAGCCTCAAATTAACCGGCTAAGCTTGACAATGCCAGTACATTGGACGACAAAGTGATATTGAGAATTGATTGCCTTTTCCATGGAGCAAAAGACTGAATCCTGATGTAGGAAACCAGGTTCCTGAATATCATGCCAGGCATGGCTGAAGACGAGCAGAATTTCCCATGAACCAAACGAAGTATCAAAGTCTACATACTAGAGTTGGAAAAAGAATAAGGTTTTGTTTTGATTAGACAAAATCAACCATCATAAAGCCCTGGAAAAACAAGTGTCTCTCGCAGATCATAAAATCAATGGTCTAGAAGCAGAATAAATCATACACTCCTATGTGCACACGACATGGATGGAATTGATTAACAACAAAACTAGTTTTGATTGGAAGCCTGAAACAGATAAAAGAGAGACATAGAACTTTTACCATCCTTCAAGGAAACCGGTTTCCTGCTGCTGCCTAGGAGGAGGTGCTGCGTACTGTGGAGGAGGGTAGGCGTAAGCTTCAGCTGGGTACCCTGGCGGTGGATATGCATCCTTTGGAGGATACCCTGCAAATCCATAATAATAACAGTAACACTAACAAAATCAAACAAGAAAAGAAATCCAAAATTCAAGAACCATATCCTTTATCCTAAACGTAAAACAAATACCTTGAGGAGGAGGAACACCAACAGGAGGTTGCTGCTGATTGTAGTAACTCATCTTTACTTCCTTCTTCTTCTTCTTCTTAAATGTCTCTCTCTCTTAACAGAATTTCTTGGTTTTGATATTCTTTTCGCTTTTCTTCTGAACAAAGTAAAAGAAGACTTGGACCAAAACACAAAAACAAACTCTGGGTTCTTGAGAATCGAGGATGATTTTATGTAGGTAACTGATAAATCGGTAAAAGGGGTAAGCCTAAGGAAGCCTGGAAGAAGTTTCCATAGGTGCTAAACCGACTCTTCACTCTACAACGGACGAATATAGACGCTGTTTTCTTTTTTCAGCTTTTTATGATGAAGAAAAAGATAAAAGATGAACACCATCAAGTAAAGGAATAGGAATTTGGCATCTTTCACAGTTCAATGTATAGTTGAAGAGTGGCTTCCGAGTTTCACCTAGAAGTTGTTTTATCCCTATTGTAGTGTGGAACCGCCCAGCCAACTAAGCTATTCCCACTTCATTTGAGTTGAGGCCATGATTATTCTTTTGCAGTCCAGCAGAGCAATGGGCACATTTACATAGAAAATCGACATCCATTGTCGAAACATGCATTTTACATCATGATCCATTTGGCAAATTTTACCCGTTGCATGATATGATGTGAAATGTACCTTTTGGCTGTATTTTTCAAAATTATGCGTCAATTTTCTCTTTTGTTTATTTTAGAAGCACTTTTTTGACTCTTATCGTCTTGGTTTTCAACTTTTTATCCTAAATAATCGATTCTGAGTTTGAAACTCTGCTTAAAACACCTAGCTTTTTATCCCTTCAACTGTACGCTAAATTGTATAATTTGTCAAATTCAAATAAAAAAGCGGGCCGCTACTTCAAACGTAACTTTCGTTTCATAATAACCCCTTCTATGTTTCTTTTGGAGAAAAACGTTGCTTTCTTTTATATAATACACGTCCAAATAAATAAGACATGAAAACCACATGAAATTTAAGTGAGATGCACTTAAATTCTAACCTTGAAAATATCAAAATCTAGAAGTTCATAACAATAAAAATAAGGCTCCCTACCTGATATCCTTCAGTCACGTACTAAGTTACATCACATAGAATTGGCACCTACCTAATGGCTTAGAGTTGAAGAGAAACTTGCTTTTTTAGTCAGTCCCCAGATCTAACACAAGATTTTGTACATGAATTATACTTTTATATATCTAGTACAACATTGACATCATTCTTAGTTATCCCAAAACTTCGGCCATCAAACCTTAAAATGCCGAATGTTTGTTTTGAATTTGCCAGCATCTTTCAACTGCACTGCCTTGAATCTACAATGGACAATTAGCTACTTAAGACCAAAGAAACCACCAACGATTTCGGGCAGAAGCACTGGTAGAACTATTGCTGGGTGCTACAGTGATCCTCTCAGCATTGGCGGCTGCCCATTTGCTGAAATCAGGTGAAGAAACAAGTTCTTCAACGGCCCTTTTCGTGGAGTCTCTTGTGAACTTCTCCCACTCACCTTTTGAAAATTTTCTCCTCTCTGGTGTGTTGTGAATAATGGAAGGGTAAGAGTCCATATCTGACAGCTGACTAGGAGATGTATTGGTAATACCTAAAGGAATGGCAACAAAGAATACCTAAGTGGTTTTCTGACATAATCAATCGACAAAAGACAATACTTTTCTTAGGTTATGTCTAACTTGAAGGATCAAAATTATCGAGCAAACCTTGCATGGAAGTATTACAAGAAGCCATGGGAAAGTGTTTAGACCGTCGCTTAAGGAAATTAGAGTCTTCAGGTCTCTTGTATGTATATTCATCATGAGAATATGGATCTGATGATAAATCAGGAATACGAGTGTTTCTTCCAATGACTTTGGCTAACTTGAACAACTTCCTGCAGAAGTAATCCACATAATGTTAGATCTAATGGCAACCAAAAAGGAACAAATACAAAAGATGAAATCCAAGCAGATTTTATACTGTTAGAATGACCAAGCCCTATGAAGGTAAAGAAAAGAAAAGGAAAAAAAAACATACTTGTACACACGGCGAAGGAATCTCAATCTAGTGACTTTACGCAATACTGATGAGAGCATTAACCCAGATAAAAATGCCTCTGCTGCAAGGAGGGGATCCATAGAACTCTGCAATGATATGGTATATTACATTATTAACAAAGAATGAAACTATAATTAACCATTGGTGAGGGATACCTTCATTGAATTCAAGAAAGTTATAGAGATTATGAGGCAGTAAAACCTGAAGCATCATTATAGCAGCCACTATCCGTATGGACCAAGCAACAAAGTAAGATGTGCTTATGTCAATTGACCCGTCTCCAGTTAGGACAAGTTTGCGGACAACCCAGAAGCCCAACCAAGCTCCAGCCAGAACAACAAAACCCAGCAGAAATATAGCCAACTGAAATTTCAACATAGAAAGTAGTTCAGTATATTATCAGGACATAATTTGCAAAGCTTATCACCAGTTACCACATTCAATGATACAAGTTTAAACCAGTAAGCCATAAATACTACATGTCACATGTAACTACAACCACTTATAAGTTAAAATGAAGCAACAAAATAATGCTTATGCAAATCTGGAACCAAGTGAAATATAGAGTATAAGTAGAAACTCTATTCTAAAGACAAAGAAATCAGAAGACTGTAAAGTTCCTGCTCCAGCTAGAATAAAGATATAAATCTAAGGAATTTAGCAAATCAAGTATTCAATTCTGAATTTTTTTCTTTTTTTTTGGAGTTAACATTAGCATGTGGATTTTTTTGCTACTTTAGAACACCTATATGCAACTATAAAATATTGTCCACAACCGGAAGGGGAACAAAAGAAGAGGAGAGAATAGCTAGAGTTCAAATAATTCACACAACTATTATAAATTAAACACCATAATTTCTAGAAACAGCAAGAATTCAATATAAATGAATCCTTAACAGAACAGAATATTAGCAATTCTACATTGATTTTACCATTTCATTTTAAGCAATAATATCATATGAATAATAGTTTGATTTGACAGCCAAAATCAATGAGATCTGTTAACTCAGCTACCAAGTTCCATCATTCATGGTTCACTTGTTACCCAATCAAATTCACGGTGTCTCATCCAACATGAACATAGTATTTGATAACAACATATAATTAATAGCTGAAACATCCTAGAGGTTATGCTCTGCATCATAGAGAAACATGGAGAAAGTGTACAAAATATCTACAGGATAACTTACATACAGGATTATACATATCTTCAGTGATTCCCATATCTGAAAGTATCGAATGCAACAATCCTGGTAAATAGCGGAGAAGAAAAGATCCCAAACCAACCTAAAACAATGAAAAAAATCATATGTGAGAAGAATTTAAAGAGAACATAGGCAAACACAGATGCATGCATATGGAACTGCAGACACACACACTAAAAGAAAAGCACCAGGAAAAGGAAACCTCGGCTGTACAGTTTATACCCACCATAGATGAATATATAACAATTGCAAGTGAGTTCTTCCGACCAGTTGGGAGAAGCTTCATTCCCTATCAAACATAAGAATATTAAGCATGTCAGAGATTGATAGCACAACAGACGGCGAGTGCAAGTTGAAGAAGTTTCAACTAATTTATCAATTACTTTATTTACCTGAAACAGGACTATCAATACCACAAGGATGACCCCAACTGCCATGGCACTGCTGTAGTAAAATACTAATGACTGGCTTAGGGTATAGGACACACTCCACAACACAATGCCCAATATTAAAAGTATTATACGATATGGGAAAAATTCTGCAAAAACAAAAAGAACAGGGTAGATGAACAAGTTTCAATTGTCAAGACATAAAGCAACAAAGATAGAAGGATCACAAACTTTACTTACCCTCTTCAATGGACACCTCAAGGGTCTGTGTGGATGAACTGGTCATCCGTATATCTAAGAGCTTGTGATCAAAAGGAGACATGGGTTTAGCCCATAAACCCTTTGAAACCTTCTCCCACTTGCCTTGAGGGCACATCCCTATCCCAAGTGAAGCATTCCTGCAATTGGAAATACAGTTCAAATTTTGTTTGTTCTCAGCCCAAAGAAAGCTTCTAAGCCTATCTTTTAATGAACTTATTACTGAATTCAACAAAGTATTTATGCGAAACAACTTACCTATGGAAACAAACTTCAACATTCGGTATGCGTAGGGTGGAATTCCCTTGTGAAACCTTCACCTTAACTGAATGAGCAAACTTCTTCAGATTCCTAAACCTAGACAAACCATCAATGCGAACTCTTTCACAAACAACTCTAGTTCCAGGCTTTAAACCTGGAGACTTCTCCACTTGCAAGCCAGGAGTTAACTGCAATGTCTTATTGAACTCCCCAACAGCTGCAAAAACAAAAACAAAACCACAGCCATTCCAATAATCAAAATTTAAAAATTTCCATTATTTATGAGGAATTAAAAAAAATGTCACAAAACAAAATACCCAACAAATTAACTGACAAGATATTTGAACTATTCCTTTCTTAATCCTCTAATTTCGCCAAAAATCAACTCTTTAATTGCTACAAGGGAAAACGAGACCCTAATTCGTAGAATTTAGAAGGGTAACATAAAAATACAAAAAGAAAGAAGAAAAAAAAGGGAGAGAGAGTACCCAAAGAAGATTCGTAGGAAAAGGCAACGGAAGAAAAACTTGAAAAAGCAACGAAGGTAAGACAGAGAAGCAAAGCCGTGTTCCGGACTCGTTTCCCGGGAACCATCGTTCTACCGGGATTGAGGGATCTGAGGAAAAGGCACGCTTGTAAATACGAGTTTATATTGAGGGCAATTCTGCTATTTCAAAGGATTTATATAGCTTTGGGCTGGCGGAACCAGATCCACCCACCTTCCAATGACGGTTGAAATTTGGGCTTAGACTGGGCCCCTTTTGTGCCAAACACGAAATCACAAAAAAGACATTAAAAAAAGAAAAAAGAAAAAAAAATCCAACGGCGCAAGACAATCCCTTATCTGTCCCTCGAGGCGGCCCGCGATAAGTCCCTCGCTTCCATGTACAGATCGCTTCCACCGTTGAGCTTCAACCGCAGACGCCCCTACCACAACCTTCACCGCCACTGTCCACCGTATTCATCGCGGTTCAGGTACTTTCTAGACTCCCTCTTTCAACTTTTGTCCTTCTTTTAAACCTTTTTTCTCTTTTTTTTTTTGTGATTTTCGTATTGTTGTTGGTTTATATCAATTAAATGATTTTAATTCATTCAGGTGAATCGGAAAGACGGGAAAAATAAATTGAAATTGCTGTAACGTTATTGAAATAGTTTGATACGCATTTTTTATCTGAGTTATTGTGGTTATTAGTAATTGAGTATATGCTTCTAATATACAAATTTCCAATCCCATAGTAAGAAAAGTCTGCTAAAGAATCTGTATTTCTATTTGGTGTGTTTCTTTAATTGGTTTTTTATGGTTTCTATTATGCCTGCAAATTCGTATTAGAAGATTGTTAATCAGATTTTGATACAGTTTTCCTGTCTTTGTTTCTTTTCTTACTCGGGTTAAGATTAAGGAAATAGAAATCGAAGGCTTTGAATAGCTACAAGACCTATTGCAAAGTATACAATGGCACACAGATTGTTAAGAGATCATGAGGCTGATGGGTGGGAACGCTCCGACTTCCCTATCATTTGTGAGTCATGCCTTGGTGACAATCCGTATGTTCGAATGGTATTAATTCTTCTCTCTTTGATACTCTCTCTCTCCAAATCTACAGCCCTCGTTGGGGAATTTTAAATTGTTTCCTACAATGGGAACGAAAAGCTAAGTTTTAAGTAACTAAATTATAAGTTCATGATGTATTGAAATATTGATATGATTTTGTTATGGGTTTTACCTTTTATTTATTTTTATGGTTTTGCTTGTAGGCATATCTATACATCGTGTATATGGATGGGAGCAGATTTGTGAAATACAGAAAAACTTTCTATAATGTGGTCAAAATTGTAAATCAAAATTTTTACAGAGGAAATTGTCAATGATTACACATTGGTAATCAAATTTGAGTTTAAGTGGGCAGGTTTTTTTACTGTACTTGTCTTGACTCTTGCAAATTTTTGCTAGGGAAGAACTTGGAGACTTATCATATTGTTCCTTTGCTTTTTATGCTTAAATTCTATGACTTCTATAACCTTTAATTAAAAATGGAATGAATTCTTCCAAATGAATTCACACTAAAATAACAAGATGATTTACACTGTAATATAGGAATTAGTAGTAATACTAAATGGACATCTTTGAAAATTTCCGTTCTGTCTATGTTCACTGTTGCATTAGTTGAGATAACACAAATAAGCATCTTCATAAGTGGTAAGAAAGGTTTTTGAAGATTACTTCATCTAGACTATGGTTCTATACCTATAAATTCACCGTGGAGTCTTCTGATAATGTTTAATTTCGTTTTGTTCCTTAAATAATGAAAATTTCTGTGTTTTACGCTCATGGGTTCTATACACTTTGCACTACAGACTAAAGCAGATTATGATAAGGAGTGCAAGATTTGTACACGACCATTCACAGTCTTTAGGTGGAGGCCTGGTCGTGATGCAAGGTATAAGAAAACTGAGCTTTGTCAGACATGCAGTAAGTTGAAAAATGTTTGTCAAGTCTGCCTTTTAGATCTTGAATACGGATTGCCAGTTCAAGTTCGGGATACTGCTCTTAGTATAAATTCCAATGATACCATTCCAAAGAGTGATGTGAATAGAGAGTATTTCGCCGAGGAGCATGACCGTAGGGTATGTATCTTTATACTTTTTTTTGGCCAGTAGTTATGTGTCTTCATACTTAATGGCTATCTTTAAGTATCATTTTATGAAGAAAGTAAAGCTAGTTAAAGTGTCATCTGATATAAAAATTTTCAAGCAATTTCCAGGTAAACTGTTTACTCTATAGAATGCAGTCCTTTTAGTTATCATCGCAATAGCTGAAGCGTTTAGCATTGGCATTGCAAACTTGCTGTAAAGATTCTTTTCATTTCTATCATGCATTATTAGAGATTTGCACACTGTGAAAGTTGAATTTTTATCATGTTCATGTCAAACATACATAAGTGTATATTTACATTTTTTCAGTTGACATGTGAATTTTGGTATATAGTTTTTCATTGATGCTGTAGTTTTAGCATGTTGTTATTTCAAGTTGTATTACTCCCATATCTCCTCCTTTTCCTCATGGTAACCAGCAATTACTTCATGCTAAGAGTTTGAGTTCAGAATATTCATTGGATTTGGATTTGGTTTTGGATTTGTGGTAATTTCAGTTATCATTTACTATCACCTGTTGATGAGAATAAATTTTTATGGTCTTATGTTATAGCTTTTCCGCTTCAGGTTTATAGGCATAGAATTTTGAAGGAAACTGTAAGATATGTTAACAAACATTGGAATTGTTATGGAGTGCTGTTTATGTTATAATTACTGTTCCATATTTGCTGAATATCTCATGTTCGCCTTCTCCCTCTCTCCTCTTTTCTTGACTATGCATGGAAATAAAACTCTATAGATGTGGGAATCTTCTAGCAGAATTAAGATTTTTAATGATAGCGCGAAAGAGATGGAGTTTGATGGTTTTAATTATGCCTAATTTATTTGTTTAAGGTGGCTATCGTCTCCTATTTCCTTTTGTGTTTTTCTCTTATGCTTAAGTAAATTTGTGATTTTCAGGCCAGAGCTGGTTTAGATTATGAATCCTCGTATGGGAAGGTACGGCCAAATGACACTATTCTGAAGCTTCAGAGAACAACACCATACTATAAAAGAAACCGAGCACATATTTGTAGTTTCTATGTGCGGGGTGAATGTACAAGAGGTGCTGAGTGCCCTTACAGGCATGAGATGCCAGAAACTGGGGAGTTGTCTCAGCAAAATATAAAAGACCGTTACTATGGGTAAGGGTTTGAGTGTAGTCTCATTAACGTCATACTTCTTAGTCTTTTAACAAGATATGTTCTTTTGCTCTCCCCTTTTGTGTGAATTTGATTGTTAATTGTCAAATGTGTTTGGGTGTGGAGAGGGAGGTGAGTCGGACATGTTCATACCCATGAACTATTCTGTCTTGATGTGTTTTTTGTCAATATTTTTAGCATTTTAATATTCATCTTTAGATATGAATGATAATACTGCAATATGTTGACAACTTAATATTTATTGCGACAAACCTACTGCTTACCTAAGCAGATTGATGCTTTCAGTGCTTGATGGTTTCTAATATTGTGATTAACTTTTTGTTGCTACTTTTCCCCTAAATTTCTGCAGGGTGAATGATCCAGTGGCACTAAAGCTACTTAACAAGGCTGGTGAAATGCCTTCTTTGGAGGCTCCTGAGGATGAAAGCATTAAAACCCTTTATGTTGGTGGGCTTGATAAAAGGGTTACGGAGCAAGATTTGAGGGATAACTTTTATGCCCATGGTGAAATAGAATCGATAAAGATGGTGCTGGATAAGGCATGTGCCTTTGTAACGTACACAACCAGAGAAGGAGCTGAAAAGGCTGCGGAAGAGCTTTCTAACAAGCTAGTCATAAAGGGTCTCAGGCTGAAGCTAATGTGGGGTAAGCCCCAGGCACCAAGACCTGAGTCAGAAACCTCCGAGGGAGCCAGGCAGCAGGCTGCAGTGGCTCATAGTGGAATGTTGCCTCGGGCAGTAATATCTCAGCAGCAGAATCAATTCCAGCCATCTGGGCCTGGCGTGCAGGACCAAGCTCCACCTATGCAGTATTTTAATATCCCACCTCCACCTCAGCTGGATAGAGCCTTCTATCCATCAATGGATCCTCAAAGGATGGGTGCCCTGGTTCCATCTCATGATGGGGAGAACAAATCTGGATCAGAAAAACACCAAGGCATGCCACCCGCACCTGGGCAGTATCCTCATCAGCATTATCCACCATATGGGTACATGCAACCAATGCCACCTTACCAGCTGTATCCACCGTATCATTCGGCAATGCCTCCGCCTCAGATGTCGTCTCAGCATTATCAACATTCTGGGCCACTGAGGCCTCCACCTCTAGTGAGTGCACCTTTAACAAGCGCACCACCAGCGTCTACTTCATCAGGTTCTGCACCTGCAGTTCCAGGGCCATCTGCCGCATCTGAGTCATCTCATCAGTGAAGGTCTCGCCATATTTTGTTTTTGCTAACATAATAATGCAACTTGTTAACCCTAAAACATATTTTTATTTTTGAGTTCCAAAACTTCTTTGCTTTATCTTTAGTGTTTTTTTATTAGCAATCAATTTGCTTTTCTTGTGAGTTATGCTCAGCTTAGCCCACGTTTAGGTCAAGCTTAAACTTGAAGAAATTCATTTGTAAAATACGTACCATCAACCATGAGTTTTCCACTCGAGGGCATGTCAAACATTTAAAATGAAAACAACAAACGCCCATGAATTGAAACCGACAAACTCCTCTGAGACTGTTCATGTTTCAACTCAGCATCAATGCAAATGCAAATTGATTTCTTCCGCTTGTCAATAACACAGCCATTCAATGAATATCTCGTGACTCTTAAAATTTATGCTAATACAGTAAGGGCTTTATAAAGTACAAGCAAGGCAACCCACAAGTGTTGATGAATAACCGACCAAATCAATGTGCAAGACATTCTTTCGACAGCGCAAAAAACTAATAACTCTCACCATCAACAATCTCTTTTGATTGATAATGTGTAAATCTAATATAAATTTTCTTTGAATTTTGTGATCTGTCTTGATCTTGAACCGAGGAAGCCTCCTTTACCTATTTTTAAGTAACAAAAAAAAAAAACAAACTAAAAGCAGCAAATCCTCCAACATGCAAGCCCCAAGAAAATTTGGTGGACAAAAGATCCACTAAAGGGGAGAATGTAATCAAAAGAAGGGGAAAGTAAACTTTATGATTGATCAATTATTCAAAGTTTCGAACTACAAAACAAAACAACATTGTAACATTTTATAATGTTGAAAAAAAAAAAGTCATATAAGTGGGCATCGCACTACCATTTGTTGGTGCCATTCTGCTGTAAATCTCTGTTCTTTTTCTTTAACCAGTCGTTAATGATATATAATATGACAGAAACTATAATCAACAGCATTATTTAATTCCCTTTTCAACACCTTTTCTTCACTTAATTTTTTATGGCCATTTTCTTCACTTAATTATTTAATATATCATCTTTTCTTTTTAATTGCTCCTTCAAACCTCATTATGTTTCCATTTTTTATATGAATAGATTATAGATTGAATTATTTAATTCGTAGTTTCATAACTAATAAAATTTAGGAATTTAAGTCAAAGAATTGAAAAGAAAAACATAGTTGCTAACTACAATAGCTATATATTTCTAGAATTAATTCTCTCAATTAAATTGAATCACAAAACATTGAAAAACTTCAATGAGTATCCACATGGAAAATGTTTCTTTGCAATGAAAATGAGACGATGGTCCCCCAATTAATTACAAATTTTGCATCCTAATACTTGAATGCTACCACTGCTTTTTAATATAGAGAAAAAGTTTTTTTTTTTCCTTTTTCAAGTATTTTGAGAGGAAATACCGAAGCAATTTTGACCCAATTGCTTTATTATAATAGATCCCTTCTTTCCCCAGCAAACAATAGTACTACTACTACTACTACTACTGTTGTTTTTGCAGTTCCCCACCGAGAAGCTTTGGACCATCACATTTGCATTTTGTCTTCACTTCCTTTTTGGGGGCCCTCTACTAATACCCATTGCCAAAGAAACGATATAAATTAATTGTGATAACAAAATGGAAGAGATACTATTTGATTGTGTTTCTTTTACTCTTTGATAAGAGTTTTACTTTTGATTCTTCTTACATAGTTATTAAATTCCACTAGTTATGATTCAATAAATCCATAATTTAAAATTTAATACCTGCAGTTTCTTTTATTTTTCAGACAACCATCAGCGATTCTTTTTACTGGCTTGAAAATATTTAAAAGTTTCGAATTTGAATTCTGAAATGAAAAGAAAAGTACTTTATCAATCAGGTATTATAAAAAAGAACAGATAGAAAGAGCTCATTACGTTTATAATCTAACTGTCCAAAGTGTTTTACATCTAACACGAACTCTAGCCTCTAAATCTAGTAGGAACTAATACTAGAAATTGATATAACATTGTAGAATCTTCAGAAAGGAAAAGAAAAAGAGAATAATATGAAGGTATTGGAAAGAGTGAAAGGATGGGTTCTTATGCCTATGGCTTATACAGTTGTTTGCTTTTTTAATGCGGGGAGAGAAAGAAAATGACAGGGGAAGCATGCAGCAGTCCTGGAAGAGATATATATATATATATATATATAGCTTTGCTCGTGCGTTCAAGTTCCAATCTCTGCAATGCTCTGCAAGGCTGGCCTCCATTGCCCCCCACCACCACCATGATACCTTCCCATGTACCTACTGCTGCTGCTGCCACCACCCCTGCTTCCCAGTATATTAGCTTCCTGCACCACCCGGAAAAAGGAGGGAGAAATTAGAAAGGAAAGATTGAAAAAGAAAAAAAAAAAGGACAAAGGCAAAGGCACCCATGAGACAGTGACAATTCCATAAACTTTTTTGGGGTTCCATTATTGATTTGTATAGAAGTTTGTGGGGTCTCTGCCAAATTGAAACCCAAGTTTTCCACTAAAAATGGATCCTGTTCACTGAACTTATCCATTCAATTGGAAGCTTTGCATTAACACTTAGATTACAAGGGAAGAAGACAAGTTATTGGACTAAATTCTCATGGACAACTATCAACCACCTCCTGTCTAATTAACTTTTGAAAGGCACACACGTGCACAAGCAAGCATTCACCACTCAATGGATACAAACAAAGTATAGAGTCATTTCATGTTAACAAAATTTAAGATATTTCCCCACTAAAAAAGCTCTAGCTTTTTCGGAAAGTATAACATTCATAATTAACAACAATTATGTCTCCATATACAAGTAACATCATGAAACTTGCATAAAAATGCATGGTGAATGGTGAATGGTGAATGGTGATAAATGGTCATTTGATTCTATTTGTTAGTATTATTATATCAATATACCATTAATTTTTCTTTTTCAGAATGACCATTAATTGTAAGTTCAGCTACAATAAGAGGATCACATCTTAACATTCATCTAGAAACATTATCCTATGTATGTTTTAGAGTCCTCTATATTCACATACATATATGTACAAGTAGTAGAATTTAGATATATCATATATCACATTTTCAAAGTAATAATGTTGTCTTTACTTCCCATCACCCACCTTTTTTTAACCTTGACTTGGCTATCTCAAATCTCAAGTACAAATAGTTGAATTCACCTTGACTTGGCATTGCCATTGTTGGTCTAAATGTGTTAAATGCTAGCATTTACAACCACATTTACCACAAGGGAAAGGCATCTGGAAATAAAACCTACCCAATTGGTAAAAGGGTAACTCAACCAAGAAAAGAAATACTAGTTGGTCTTACCAAAAATAAAAAAAGAAATACTATTTGGTAACATGATTAATATGCCATTATTTCATAAGGTTTCTACAAAAAGCAAGATTGGTAATGACTAGTGTGACTCATCACTGAATAATCAGATACCAGGAAAAGGGACCTAAACAATTGGTTAAAGAAAGTTCAGAGAAATGCCTCGAGATCTGTTGTTTAAACAAAGTTCAGATTCTTCCAAAGTTCTCAAATTTCAGAAGAAAACATTTTTAACTCACCAACCCATAAAGAAAAAAAAATGCTCTATGACAACACTTTGTAGATGCAGGTTTTCCTTTTCACCTTTTTTTTTTTATTTACTCAAATATTATTTAGTTCTTTTTTTTTACCATGAAGTTACTTTTCTGCATCGAAATGACAAAGGGGGAAAAAATACCCATCCTTACCTCTCAAGACTTGAAACTAAGGCCCATAATTCCAATCCAACATTAAACAGTAATTTATTAGTACTTAAATTTAATTACATTTCTTGACATTCGAGTCCCAAATTAATACTCATGTCAGAAGCTTAGCTCATCCTTTCTGACAAGTTCTGCTGATTTTACAGGAAACTTGAAAGTGTAGTGTTTACAGTCTGAGCTTTGTTTTATTACCTTAACAGAACTGCAGTTCTCAGATTTGGAGTTAAGTTTTGGATTCGAATTGGAAGCAGCTGGCAAATCCTTTCTCTTCAAATCCATCCCAAGCCCTCCTTGTTTCAACAGTTTTCCAAGCTTCACGCACTTCTTTGCAGCAAACTCTTTCAAAACATCTAAAAGAAGAAACCCACCAAGATCAAGAAAACAAGAAAAGAAGGTGCCTTTGGCAAACTATAGAGACGTAAAAATTAAGTTATGAATTACCTTCAAAGCTAATGAGTCGATAAACTTGACCGATTACTAAAGTGTCATCTGGTTTTAAGAGCTTGAGCTGCTTCAATGGCATGCCATTTTCGTTCTTTAACGTCGGTGAGGTTACCACAAGTGCAACGTAATGGCCTGGATTTGAATTCATGATTTCATTAGCACTGACAGACCAGTAAATCCTCTCGATCTTGTTCCCCGGATGTTGAATCACGACCGTTGCTGCTTCAGCTGCTTGACAGTTTCCCATATCTTTACTTCGAGAAGAACAAAAAAAAAAAAAAGAAGGAACCCTTCACTGCAAAACTCAACTACACTCAAGAACAATGAACGTATTGTTTTATGGAACACTTCGACGTTATCCACGTTAAGGTGAAATAACCCAGAGAAGTTTTACGCCATGCGAAAGCAAAGGAAAGGGTTGGCTTGAAGGAGAAACAAAAATCGAAAAGGATGTGGTGGTTTGGAGAAATAATGAAAGGAAATTAAGGGGTCTTAGGTGCTTATATCAGCAAGCTAGTAATGATGAAAATGAAGCGTAAATGCTGAACAGTGGACTGAAGGGATTTTTACTTGGTGCGTTATATGGGGCTAAGAGGGAGACGTGTTAGACCTGCAAAAACCACCTGGGTTGCGTCTAGAGGGAAGATGTGGGGTAAAAGTAGGGCCTCTAGTGTAAACGGAGATCTTCTTCCAATTGAATGAGATCGTTGTCAACTGATACAAAAGGTTGGTTGCTTTGCCACTGTTATAAATGGAAAAGGACCAGTGGCCCCCTTCACACAGGAACCCTAGGCTCGGGGTTTTTTGCCTCCTTACCCCAACGGGGAAAAGCAAAATTTAAGTTTTGAACTTTGCAAGCTTGGTTTAAAGGTAGTCGTCACACTTCAACCAGGCTTTAGTTTAACGATGAGAAGAATACTTTAGATTTAAATTTTATTAGGTATAAATTCAATTATTTAATTATATTTTAATTTATTAATCGATTATTTAATAATTATAATTTATATATAGTATAATAATTGATTAATATAAATTTAATATTTGATTACAATTGTACCCTTTTTTTCAATATTACAATTGTAACTTCAAAAAAAAAAAGTTATCACACAAACTTGGTATTATGATTTAATCCTAATAATTAAAGCTTAACTTATACTTAATAAGTAGATTAATTACGAATATTTTAATTAAATAAATCTGATTTCAATTAAAATTTTATAATTATAATTAAGTCACGTCAAAACCGGATTTCAAGATATCTTCCACATGATCGAATTTATGAGATAAAAATTCAAAACTCCTACTTTTACCTTACTTTTTCATTTTGAGCGATTTATAGTTTGAATATAACAACTCAACTCATTACTGCATCATAAGATGATACATGAATTAGTATGATTTATTGGCACACGTAAATAGATCCAATTTGATATTTTTTTGGAAGTAACAAAAAAATATACATATATTCATATGTATATACATACATAGATATATGTATATATATATGATCTAATTAATTATTAACATTTTAAGGTAAAATTTGTGATTCAAATGACCATTTTAAAAATAAAAATACTTTAAGTGGAATGAAAAAGTAAAAGAATTAAAACATCTACATCAATATCCCTAAAAAGGGAAAATGAAAATATTATGGTTAGTGTGCAAATACATATGAAAAGGGGCATTTACTAATCCTAAGAGTTGTAAGGATCTAGGGCTGATCTAGATATTCGATTTTTTTAGCAAGTGAAAATAAGAAAGGTTTCCATCAAATATATTTAGATTTAATAATTTAAAATATAATACGATGACATGACATGAATATGATACAAAAATAAAATATAAAAATGATATAATTTAAAATTTTAATAATAATTATATATAAATTTAATAAAATAAAAAATTATATTTTATATTTTTATATAAATACGAATTATAATATATAATTTATATGTAAAATATAATATAAATATATAAATTTTAATATTTTATATTACATAAATATACGAATCATCATAAAAAGTACCAATGTCTATTTCACTTTTGGGTCTTAAATCTTAATCATTATTTTCCCTCTAAAGTTGAAGATACTTTCACTACAAGTTTTCATAAGTTTCTTATTATAAATTGAGGGTTTGAAATATTGATTATTGAAGGCTAGTATTTTCTAATTAAGCTAGCTCTTTTCAATAAACCTCCACTTTCTACTAATACCAAAATTGAATTTTATCAAATAATTAGTTATTAACTGAGAATAACATGATGCTATCATCTTCTTTCGACTTTAATTCTTCCACTAAAAGTAAGGTTTGATTCCATATCCTAGTGGCTAGTGTAATTGTCATTAAAAAAAATTAACTATACATAAACAAAATTACAATTTTTTTCCTTCTTTGATACTGATTACTTCCCCTATTCTTTTTCTTGGTTGGGTAATTACTTTTCAGGTTAATTTTTTAATAATTGAGATAGTTAATAATTGAACTTAGTAAAACTAAAAGTTCAAAATTCTAGCTACAGGTCATATAACTGATTTTTTTTTTATATAAAAAAGAAAAGATGAGTTACAATTTTTGGTGCTCTATTGATGTTTTGATGCTATAAGAGGTTTTTTTGTGCAAAAAAATTTTAAATGAGAGGAGATTATTTTATTTCAGAATCAGAATATATAATAATTATTAGATTTTATAAATTAAATATTCAATCTTTATTAACGTGACAAATTTTGTCGATGCAATAAGAAATTTTCTAATTGTACTATTGTGCTTCATTGGAGCTAAATGTGAAAATTTATCAATTTATTGTCCAGCAACATTACACCTAAACAGATATATTTCCTGATGATTAAGGTAAGATGATGAGCAGACAAAATATACTTCGTAAACAGATATTGATAGACCCTGGCTGTTGGTTTTGGTGGCATGGATTCTTAATGGTGAAAGTGGAAATTTAATGTACCAGGAAAAAAAGACAGTGGAACATTAACTAACTTGCACATGCTCAATTTCTTCACTAGTGTAAATTCCATGCCAAGCAAGCTAGAGAGTTAGGCTAGCCAACAATCATGGCGAACATGTTTGGTTTTAATTTTCCCAAGTCATATGACTCTTAACTCTCCCATCTTTTCTTCGATTTTAGTTGCTGGTCAAACATGTTTTTGGGCCACTCCCGGCAATGAATTTATTCCTGTAACCAATTTTTCCACCGCCAGCCCACCGCTTAATAATAATTTGCCAATAATCATTTCTATGCACAGACGCCACGTCTCAACTCCGTCAACAATGAGTTAAAAGTTTTACCAGGCGATACATATTGATATAAAGCATGTAATTGAGAGGCTCAGTACGGTTTTTATAGAATGGGAAACTTCAGGCATACTACTAAAAATAGCCCACAGGTTTTCCTTCAGAAAGCGAACTTATTTTCAGGCCCAAACAGAGGGCATGGAGCCATTGACCCAGCTCTACTCTACTGATTTGGAGCCCAATTGCCCAAATTCAGCCACTTTTTTATTTTTTTTTCTAACAAAATATTTTTAATTTTACGAACAAGATTAAGAGGGAATAAGTATCCCGAGTTATTATTTATAAAAGACATTAGCCCCAGAGTTTGGCATGATTTTGAACTTCAATGTGGTTGCTATATGGGTTATATAAGCTTCGCCAAAAGGCGGAGAAAAATATTCTATTATATAATTTATAATAATATTTATATTATGTATATATCAAAAAAGAAAAAAATTAATGAAATAATTTAGTGCAAAAGGCAAATCCTTTTAATTTTTACTTCTGTAAACGAAACAGAATTGGCCATAGTTTCTGTAATTAATCAATGGGATATCCTTAAGAATGTACCAAGTTTAGCAATAAAGGGGATCTGGTTAATATCAATCAAGGTTCAAGTGTCACGGACTTAAGGAAAAGTTCTGAATCCTACATCGAACATAATAAATAGGTCATTAGAGTATATAAGGGTTCACACCATCTCTTTCTTGTGAGACGCTTTTTGTAGGACAAAACCGTGAGGCCAAGGAGATCAGAGCAAACAATACCTCACAAGGGTGTGAACCGTGACAGATAGGCTGATCTGAGACGTCGGATGAGTGGATACTAGGGTTTCGGAGTCGCGCGGGTTCGGAGCTTAAGTCTCGACCCATGACAAGTGGTATCAGAGCCAGCCTTAAACCGCCAAGCACCTCGAGGGAGGTAGGTAGAGTGACCAGCTTCCATGATGAGGGCGTCACGAGGTTAGGTGGGAGAGAATGTCACGGACCTAAGGAGAAGTCATGAATCTCACATCGAATATAATAAAAAGGTCACTAGGGTATAACCATCTCTTTTCACATCGAATATAATAAAAATGTCACTAGGGTATAACTATCTCTTTTCTTGTGAGACGCCTTTGTAGGACAAAATCGTGAGGTCAGGGGCTCCACAACGGACAATACCTCACAAGGATATGAATCGTGACAGGTAAATTAATCTGAGATGTCAGATGAATGGATACTTGGATCTCGAAACAACACGAATTTGAAACTTAAGTCTCGACCCGTCCCGTGAGACAAGACGAGCCCAAAAAATAATAATGAAACACATCCTGACATGTCATTCCAGTTGTAATCTTACTTAGAATGGCCATACACTTGAAGACAGATTTGCTCCCCGGAAAGAAAAGAAAGGAGATTCTAATCAGGAAGTTTTGCTTGTTTCTGGAAAGAGAATACTTGCATTTGCATTAATGATGAGTATATTTTTTCTACTGTTTGATTTATTTGGTCAAAGAAATGAAGAAAAATCTTTTACATATCTTATTTCATTTTGAATCTGACATCTAGACTCAATCCAAACCTTCAATCCTAGATAAGAAAAATATGATATCAATAAATTCATAAAATGGTACATTTTATGATGGGGATCATGTAAAAATTGACTTGGTGATTTAGCGGAATTCTTGCTGATTTTATCTTTCGATTGGGAGCAGGTTTTCTCCTTAAGTTTGGTTTATCATAGTTTACATCAACTTAATATCAGGTTTGGACTCTTTGGTTTGTCTACTGGGGAACAGGTCAGTAATTTGAGCTCATATCCCTCCCTTCTGTTGATTCGTTTCTTTCTGCAAAAAAGAGAAACTTGTAGCTTCATTTCCTTTGTGGATTTTGGAAGTGGAAAAAGTACAATGATTGCGATAAAGATAAGAGAACGTCAAGAATTACAGAAGGGTGTTGCAGATTGAGAAACACTGGAATCCGTAATTAGATAAGTAACAAGTAGTGAAAAACAAGTAATCGTTGGTCTTCCACAAATTCTAGGACCAGGCATTGGCCCTACTCTATTTGGATCAACTCCAAACGAAGTTTCATGCACAATTCTCTGAAGGGTCCCCCACTAGATTCTCCTACATCAGCAAGAGAATTGCCCCACTTCCCCCAGGCAAAATGTGAACATTTTTAAAGCTTCCATGTTCAGAATCTCACAAAGAACTTAATCTAATTAGGAATCTAAACCGTTACTTGAAAAGGGAGTGATCATATTTTAGCTTCTATTAGTTCACTACCACAAAGAAAAATTCAATGGCTGTGTCCCTAAACCTTCCAACTCTTCCCAATTTGTACTGCAATGAAGCAGCTAGCGACGTTGTCTCCTGGGAACCTGATTATGATGAATGTCAAATTGTTCCTTTGGCATCTTCAGATTCATATTTCTTCATCGATTATAACGATGATTCTTTAATTAATATGTTTGATTCAGAGGTTGATCAGTTGCTGGAATCCAAGTTGCTTTCAAGATTTTATGATCTTCCTGATATTGTTACAGCTCGTCAAGAGGCAGTTCAATGGATGCTAAAGGTAGTAGAAGTTTTCTTGAATCTCTTCTCTTCTTTGTTTTCTTCTAATCATAATCAATTGTTCAAAAAATTTCAGGTGCACTCTTTCTACAGGTTTAGGCCTGAAACTGCTTATCTTTCAATAAACTACTTGGATCGTTTCCTCTCAGCTCGAGCTTTACCGGTATTTAAATAGACCTTGGTGATTGTCATTTTTTTTTTTTTGTTTGATTGGATCATATTATCATTTTGTTTGTTGGGTCTAATTAATTAGAAGAGTTTGAAGATTATATTTACTCCTCCGCTTTGGTTGGTTTTTGATGTTCATGTGTAGCAAGGGAAAGGGTGGCCTATGCAGCTTTTATCAGTATCATGCCTTTCTCTAGCAGCAAAAATGGAGGAAACAACCGTACCCTTTCTCATAGACTTGCAAATAATAAAACCCAGATTCTTGTTTAAGCCCAAAACAGTCCAAAGAATGGAGCTTTTAGTCATGAAAACTCTAAATTGGCGATTGCGCACCATTACTCCTTTTGATTTTGTATATTATTTCATTGCAAGGATTTCATGTATCAATAATTCCCAACAAAACAGCCAGTCAGATATTTTTTCTTGCGCCTCTGATCTCATTATTAGTACATATAAAGGTAATTTCTGACCAGCCAAAAATCTTAAAATCTCTTCTATTTTTTCCCATTCTTTCTTTGATCCTAGTTTGTATTGATCATTTTAGCAGCCATTGATTCCTTGGGTTACCCTCCATCAGCAATTGCTGCAGCCGTGGCACTATGGCTGACTAATCACAGTGTGGACAACCAGAATTTGGGGTGCTTACACAATAGAGTGAACAAAGTAAGACCCCCCCTCCCCCTTAAGGATTGCATGCATGAAGGGAAGTTTTTTTTTGGTTTTAGTTTCCTAAGGGATCAGATCAAATCTACCTAGAACATGCCTCCTTCAATGCATGCATGAATTGCTCTGGAACCAAAGAAAACGATTAGTCTGATGATATTTTTTAGTTTGTATGTTTCAACTTTTAACCAAAATCTAACAAAAATCGACTAATGAATTGGTAAAACTTCTCTTGACGACGAGTGCAGGAGATGGTAAAGAAGATTTACAGGATCATTCAAGGGAAAAAGTCTGGTTTGGAACCACCGCCACCAAGTCCCACTGGTGTGCTTGATGCTGCTATCCAAGGAAGCTGCAAACTGCAGAAAATTGGCAACAGAATATGAATTCCAGCAATAATAACTCGCTGCAAAATAAGTGCTAATGGAGCAGGAAATTAATGTTTGATTTACTGATAGAGGAAAGAAAAAAAAAAATCATGTTTTGGTTTGTAATTTTATGCAATTCTTTTTACAAAGTGTCCCTGATTTTCTTCTTCTTTTCTTCCTTTATTTATTTATTTCTTTTGGTTTTGTTATTTGATTATGGCAAAGTGATTTTGATTTGTGAGAAAGTTTTTCTCACATTGCATTTTCGCTTGATGCACTAATATTATTCTACTTTTCGCTTGACGCACTAATAATCCACTTTTATAAGGAAACTTCTTTGTCACCATGACAATTACATATTTACAAAATTAATCCACACAATTTAATTAGTAGAAATCCATCTTTCTTGAAAAAGAAAAATGCAAGTTTTTTTTTTTATCTATAACTAATAATCTTTATAAGAAAACAAGAAGGTAAGCCCAAATTTACGATTTGATTAAAAAAAACATAGACCCCGAACAATTTGAAAAATAAAATACTATTTAAGGAAAGATGAAACTAAAATAAATATAAATCAAATTAAGGATATTAAAATTAAACATAACAAAATTTTGTTTTTAAAAATAATTTTAAATAAATTATTAATTATGTTCGACAACGGCATGAAAAATTAACTCAAACTATTTCATCATATATTAGTATAGTATAATTATAATATTTATTTTAAATTTTAATTTAATGATTATAAGCGTTTGAAAAAATATTAAAAGTTTAGTTTATCAAAATTTTTTTTTATTTATACTAAAATTTTATTTTTTTAATATAACAAAAAAAATTATAATATTCATACGAAAAATAACAGCTTCATTGAGCAAGAATTTATCATTACGAATAAAGTCACAGTCACAGGCACTTAAATCTTATCACAACTTTTGAGTTTTAATAAAGTGTACTTGATGAGAAGGAAATAGTGGTAACAAAAAGAGGGAATAATATTTAAGGGAGGAAGGATCGTTGGTACCCAAAAAAGTAAAGAAAAGCTCTCTCTCTCTCTCTCTCTCAATTTTCATGGATTGCTATTTCATCACGGCCCGACAGGTCGTATCTGTGAGGAATTGTAATGGGGATAAAGGAAGCTTCTCTTGCTTTCTTGTTGTTGATGGTGAGCCACACCCGTATCAATCTATCATCTATTCCGTTGAAGTCACTTCCTAATTGCTATCATTATCAGGGGTGTATACTTGTGAATTTATAAACAATTTTGATTATAATTCATTTAAATCATTAAAAGTTGAAAATTTTAATATTTTATAAAGTATCACATAAAATTTATATTTGTTAAAAATTATACATGATATAAAATAAAATTTATCTTTAAATTTTTAAAAATATTATTGTAAAATAATATTTTATGTGTTTAAAAATGAATGCTTAAATAAATTTAAATCTGAAATTTTGAAAAATGAAAAACTTACCTGTACATCTACTCACATCGGCACGATAATGAAGTAACTCTTGCCGGGCGCTCAAAAAAGCAAAAGCGATAAATTTTGAAAAGCAATGAGCCATTGGCACACTAGGCTTTAATTGGCTCTAACTTCCTTCTATGGGGATTTAAATTTTTTATTAATATAAAAAGAATATTTTTGTTATGTTCACCGGTTCAAGTAAAGGGATCATGAAGATTGAAGGGTTCGTGTTGTATTCAAAGATTGGTAATAGCTCGTATAGCACATTTTTAAATTTGTTTATATATTTATTTATTATTCATAAACACTTTTATTTTATATATCTAATGAATATATTTATTTAATATTCACGAATTTAATCACAAACATTAATAGAATCGAACATAAATTTATAGTAAATATTTTATCATTTAAATAAATTAATTTTAAGCATAATGAATAATTTTTTATTAAATATAAAAAATTTTAAAAATAAATGAATAAATTATAATTACATATTCATTCATATTCGATTTATTTATGTCCTTAATTACTATTCAAATATATGAATCACATGGATATCTTCTAAATCTATTTATCATCCCTTAATTTTACAATACAATTATCATTATTGTGTTGAGATATTTTTTTATTTTTTTATTTACAGGATAATGTCTGTAGGTAACTTTGAAAATACGATTTGTCCAATTTATCCAAAAAAAAAAAAAAGGAGAGAAAAAAAAGGGACATCTAAATTAAGATTCTAAATCATGTTTTAATATTTAAGTCAATAATTGAGTGAGGCAAAAGTGGGTGCTAGTAGAAAGGATGGCTATGGAGGGAATAATGTTAGTCTTACTTTCCAGGCCCTTTACTTTATAATTCTCATACTTAAAAGATATAATTGTATGACACGTGCTTATCTTCTTCAGCCACCTGCAGAGTTTAGTTAAGACGAATAGCATACATATGACATCTTTAAAGCTTGTTTGGATCACTTTTCATTTGTGAACCTCGTAAATTAGGCTTTATCTTTGGCTTTTGGCTTAGGATAGAAATGGATCTAATAATCACCATTTATTTCAAGCACCTACAAATTAATGTTTATATCTCACTTGCATGAACATATAATGTATATATTTAAAACAAAAAAAAAAAAAATACTAAATCAACGATGAGAGTTGGAAGATAAGGAAAAAAAAAAAAACTAAGAGCCTGTAAAGTTTTAACATTCAAACCTAGCTAATAATGTTTTGTGTTGTTTTAATAGCAATAACTTAGTTGATTGCATCAAAATAACATGAATAGATGGCAGAGAAAGTCATGGCTTGCCCAGGGAAATGGCCAAATTGGAAATAGTCAAAGTCACAATTTATGTCAAATTTGATGCCCAAATTATGCACTTAATTGCCGATGTTGAAACTTCAAGGAAAATCCACCATTCTCCTTTTCCTCTATTACTGACCTTCCTTCTTTTCTTTTTTTTTTTTGGCAATTTTTATCATTAGCTATAATAATTTCGTTTATAAACAATTAGGTCATAAAGGGTTTAGGAAATGTAATTTATGGTAATTGGATTTAGATTTTGGATATTTCAAAATTAATATATTATATATCCATTTGTTATTTATATTTATTATTTTTTGACATTATGATGGAAAGGATTCTTATCACGAGAATTCGGTCATAAAACGATATCATAATATGATAAAAATCTCTATTACCTCATTGTTAAAGGACCTCTAAAACAATCATTAAAGAGTATGCTGAGGTTTTATTTTTATTTTTCTAAACCAAGAGGAAAAGATGTAGTATTTGGATTTGAACATGAATTGTTTAACAAAATAATTACATATATTCTTTAATTACAACGTAATAATGATGTTTTTTTATGAAATAGAATCTTCATTAGATTACAAAGTAATACAACAGATAGTTTAAGATAGACTCCCAAACAGGAAGCTGTCCATCATTACATTCAATCCAGGCAATATTATGAGCTAAAGTAGTAATGATGTTTAGCAATGATATTTTTATATATGTAGACAATTTTAAGCTTTCGTGTTGTAAAATTTAAGAAGATAAAAGTGTATACTCTTAACAGCTTATATGAATTATGCTTTCCTTGCTAAACTTGGATGAAAATTAGAGGAGGGTTGATTCAAGTCTCTAGGCTACGGTGATATGGTCTAAGTATTTGAAAGGCAAGTCTTTTCTACATAGTTCTATAAAGGGCATTACTGCTCTCGTATGGCGTAGTGTTTGTTCAAATAAAGAAGTGGTGAGAAAAAGTTGTTCTCGTTTGATCTGTAATGGTCAGAGAACTTCTTTTTGGTATGACAAATGGATTGGTTACAAAACT